GAACAATTTAATTATCCTAAAAACGAATAAAACAGTTTTGTAGAGGAGAAAGAGCTCTTTCAAATGAATGCATACAGTTTGCTAAGAAACAAAATAAATCGTTGTAAAATAACTCTAACGCAAAACTCTACGAACTTATGTTACAACCCAATAACTTGCAATTGATAATGTCATTATTCGAGAAGATTGCTGGTACCCAGCGATTCGCGATCAGCGTTTTCATTTGAAGTAGCCAGATTATCGAACATTCACTGTGGGGTAGCCAACCCAATTGTCGGAAGCTGCGACTCTTCAGAAGCCAGGACTTCTTACGGAGAGCGGGAGTCGCGTAATTTTCTGGATTGTATGAGTACTATTCACCGGATGTAGGAAAAAGAGGTTCAATCGACTTAGTGGAATCTATGGCTCAGGGATTTGATCTTGAACGTGCATAACCATTCTTTCTTGGGACTTCTTCAACTTAAAAGGGTCCTGTCTAGAAAACAGAGGCGTTTAATGTCTTTACTCATTTGAAAAGATGCTGTCTACTGTCGTGTATCGCACACACACAAGGTCCGGATATTCAATCCAGACTTATATGCGCCCAGACCAAGCAAGCCTTCTATCCCTCCGAAGTCAATCAAATGTTACCGGACTCGTTCAGGAAGATAAAAGCAGTGAATTTGTCTGCTGACTGGGTACCACAATTCGTTGTATAGACCATATATGCCTTCGAAACGCCAATATTAATTTGCATTCATGTCGAATGCGCTGCGCATTCCAACATGGAGTTGATCAGCACTGAATGACTTCAATTTTTTGAATGTGGCAACGCGGAGATGGGGAGGTAAGTGGCCGCCCTTTGGTAGCAAGCCAAGCTTTATGGTACAAGAACATACCTGATTTGCCTCACCCACCCACTTGGCCTTCTTCGGCAGACGAAAGCCATGCCTTGCTCTAGTCAGGTCCATCTGTTTCAATCGTCGAAATTCTATAGACCGCTCAGGCTCAAGTGCGACCTCGCTGACTTCAATTGGTATAAAATGGAGTCGCGCTGGCAGTGTAGGGTACGATTGCGCTGCCCTCTCCCTCTTACCGTACTCTTGACTGCAAAGGGAAATGCCATTACCTTACTCTACTACCAGTTCTACACCACAAAAACTTCCGAAACCACCTCGCAGATCCGTAGCAAACCTTCAGAACAACCTCCCAGAGCCTTCGTCCTACCCGACTTTAGCTAATGAAGGCTTGGACATTAGTTCTTATTCAGTGCTCTTAAAATTTTTCATATCTCGCTTGAATTTATAATATAATATTTTTATAATAATCCGAATAAGATTGTCCTCTGATACGTTTCTTGGCTGCAATAAGTCTACTGTCCACCGATTGCCGTATATTTTTGTGTTTCAAGAAACGTATTTGTGCTTTGAACTGGTCATGTTAGGTATTGGACCGATAGAACACAAGGCTTCTTGAAGAAATACTAATATTACAGAATGCTGGCTCCTTCTGAAGTAAAGAAACACGTAAAGAAGACTCTCGAGCTGTATCCAATAGGTGGAGGACCTCAAGAAATCAGAGGAGCTAAAGAATTTTACATGTAGTGAGTAAATAGCTTTCAAAAATAAATTCCATAATTATTGTCTATGACTCAATAAATGGATAAATTTGGAGCTAATGGCATACTGTAGGATGGTAGACACATACATATTTTGTTTCTTTAGTTTACTTTTTACATATTTTCATTTGAGTCTTGATCGAAGTATTTTGAGGCGCCTTTTTTCATACCAAAAGAGCTTTTTATTTTCTACGCGAATATGTAGCTTCCCCGTTGAGTTTGAAAGATTATCGTTTAGCATGTTCACCCAACATCCCGATCTCCGCAAATACTTCAAAGGAGCCGAAAACTTTTCAGCAGAAGATGTTTTGAAAAGTGAAAGGTGAGATTTAATCTGATTACCAGGAATTTCAATTTTGAAGCCTTTAATAGCGCAAACCGTTCAGAACAACTTAGATTGTAATCGTTCTCATTCCTTCTGTAAGGAATCGAGTGGACTATTCATTTTCTAGAATAAGGTAAAGGCTTGGTGTTAGAAGAGTCAAGCTATACTATAGTAATTTTAATATATTACATTAAACTATTCAGGTTTGACAAGCAAGGCCAACGTATTCAGTTAGCCATCCACATTCTCGCCGACTCCATAGATGACGTGAGTCCTTAAGATAAACGGCATAATCATTCATTGCTCCTGAATCTGCCCTTTAGTTTTTCCATAGGAATTCAGATTCCACTAACTGTTCTCCGTACTTTTTTTCGAAAAAAAAACATGATTTCGACTAATAGGATTCTGCTGGTTACGGTATTCCATTACTAGAGTAGAGTACACTCAACTAAACAAAAATGTTGCAGTAGAATTACCCAGGCAGATAAATTTTCACGAGAAACAGACCATTTTGTAAAACTGGCAAAAATTTGAAGTTATAGGAGCCAACATTCCGCGCCTACGCTCGAGAAACCGTTAACAGGCACCGTCAGTACAAGATGGTTCCAGAACTGTGGGGTGTAAGTGATTTATTTCAACCTCAAATGAATTTGTCTGAAGTTCTAAAGCCGAAAAGCTGAGCTCCGGACGATATGATTCCATAGAGTGCTTAACTGTATTTTTTAGGCCTTTTTCACGGTTCTCGTAAACTTTTTGGAAACAAAAAGACCGTTGACTGATGACGAGAAAGCTGCTTGGAGCCAGCTGGGGAAAATTTTTGACGAAGAATGTCAAAGCCATTTGAAGAATCTCGGACTGGCACATGTCTGAAGTCATATGTACTCGAAACGTATCTTATAAGATCTTTGATTATAGATACTTATACTATCCGATACTCCTGCCCCATATGGAATTTTTTTTTTGTGTGCTTACATATGCTGTCTGCTATGGAATGAAAATATATTCCGGGAATTTTTTTTNTTTTTTTTGACGAGATAAGGAAAAAATACATCGAAGCATTCAGGAGTGACCGACTTTGTACTCTGTACCCGATTTCTCACGGTCGCAGGCATGCACGCGTCTGTGTTTTCGCGGCCACTATCCTAGTCACCGGGAAATTCAAATCTTGCCATTACCCCGCTCTACCTTCGGGCTTCTGATCACCTTTTCCCATGCTATTAAAATTTCTCATGTATTTGCATACTTGGTGCCTCTAACACGACCATAAACAGGTAAACAAATAAAAAAGTTGTCTTAGAGTTTACTTAGAGCTGAAAGCCTAGTGAACGTTTGCTTCACTGTAACAGCCACCAAGCAGATTACCCATAACAAAAGGTTGATGAAGGAGTACTCGTAAGGACCCAATAATTAATCAGAACTCGAATGTGACGGACCAATAAACCTGATCTTGTTGGTGCGTCAGCTTTATGCAGACACTGAAAGGCAATAAGGGCATTAGAGCCTAGCGTTGCCTACTTCGTTCCATGCTACGGCGCTGATGCTCCGTTCATACTCTGCGAATATACATATAGTGAACAACATTCACGCCTGACGGCAGGCCACAAATAGCAAGCGGGGTCCAATTGAGCCTCCCAGAAAGCACTGAGGGATTGAGCACTGGGGGCCATGAAGGACAGCCAAGCCCCTCCGCAAACAAGATTTCTCGACACCCTAAAAAAATCGGATGTGGTCGGTGCACAGTCGTTCTTGGAAGTGAAGTCTGGTGTTCTATGGTGTATGATGTATAAGTACAGTGAAGGCGATACATTCGATTCCATGGTGCATTCCATCTGAAGCACAAAAACAGCCCGAACCGAGACCTTGCTGTCGTATAAATAGATGTAACGCTTGCACTGTACTGGTCAATCATTGCTTCCATGGTAGTCATCTACCTGTAGATTTCCATCCAAGCTTTGCCTTGGTTCATTCCTACATGTCTACAAAGTTACAAAGTTATTCAAGTTTAATGCAGGACAGCCATGGGCCATCGTTCGAGAAGATTATCATTCTCAAAATTCCGAGTTTGTCTCGTCTAAACCTCTACTACTGATCGTTTTGTGGTGATATGCTTAATCTTGCCAGGTTGTATCATCCCATAGGGTTTTTACCCGAATTCTCGACACTCTGACTATACTGAAGAACTTCGCTTTTCCTCTCAGAACACTTCCTCCCAACTTCAAAAGGAATCAGAGTTCATCAGAGAGCTGTTGTCAGTCATGGCTGTCATTCGATGAGCAAGACTTGTTTTTGAGCTTTTGAGCTTCCCAGGCTTAACCTGATACTCATAGAGCAGCAATTGAGATGCGCTATAAGCCAAAAATCTGCAACAGATATGACAGAAGCCTAAAAACCTAGAAACATTTCAGTTTTTAAGAAAAGTCTCAATCAAATAGATTTACTTTCTATTCTTGATATTGCAGATCTCTAGCTTCCTATTCCAGCGTTGGAAGTT